TGGGATCTTGTGTAGAGGTATTTTCATTCATAATTCTAAATGTTATTACAATGCTTCTTTAGGCTGACGATGAGCTGCCCGGATTCAGCATTGACGTTCTTTTTAACCGCATTTTAGTTGACGACCTATCACAAGGTAAGGCCTACCAGTTTTTCTTCTGAACAAGTTATTTTTCAGGAATGAAATTGTGTCCCTTTTTATATGGCCGTGCTCTATGGGCCGTTGCAAAATTCTCTTCCTGCGTAAGTAGAACGTTTCATTCTTTGTTTCTTATAGTTTGATCAAGATCGCCTCTACAGATTAGCAAGGACAAACAAGAGAAGTTCTTTCTTACTGCAATAGAAGGACTGTCTGATACTTCGTAAGTCCTGTTTCGATAGTCTATTCTGTAACCTTTTGTTTGTCGCAGGTATATTCCAATCATGGTGGCTTCATGCCAAGCAGTTTCCACCTTGTTGCCAAAAGTTGAGTCTCGAAGCTCACAGCCTTATATAAGATCACTCTATACAGCACTGGCGACACTCTTGCAGCAGGTTTGCTCTTATGCTATTCTTTTTCTTTATCATGCTAAAAACTATTTCTCAGGGGTCTGAAGAAACTATGCATATTGTTTTGGATGCGTTGCAATCCGCAATAAAAGCTGGTAAGTGGCCTATTTACTGACTTCTTTCACATGACTACCCTTGATCTTTCTCAGACAAGGATCACATGCCTGAAGCAGAGGCAATGTTATCTCCCATTTTACTGCACGTATGGGCGACATATATCAGGGATCCCTTAATCAGCATAGACGCACTAAGTGCTATAGAGGTAAATCTGATTAACATGAAAAAGACTGAGAGCTTATGCAGGCTGTTAAAAATGCCCCTGGCTGTATGGAGCCTCTTGCAGCGCGGGTGCTTCCTGCTATTACTGGCGTTTTGTGTCAGGTATTTGAAGTGGTATTCTTGAGGCGGTCTACGTAACTGTTTGTTTTCAAAGTGTAGCCACGAAGTCAGCAGGAAGGACAAGTAGCGGGAGCTTTAGATCTTCTCACCATGCTTGTCAAGGTTCGTTCGTTCTCCTTGCGTTTTACTTGTTTCGTTTGTTTGTTCTTTAATATGATAATGCATTCAGAACGCGCCTCTCAGCATCTTGAAGCACGCGCATCATGCACTCTTTACCTCCATTATCGATATAGTTTTGCAGACGAATGACGATAGCGAGCTACAGGTAGCTTTTCGTTAACAGACAGCGGTTTCCTGATGTCTTGCTTTCTCGACAGAATGCAACTGAGTGTCTAGCTGGCTTTGTCAAAAGCGCAGGAGAGAACTTGATTGCTTGGGCCACTGACGCTGATTCTACAATGAAGATGCTTCTGGCGGCTGCTGGGAGGTAATAATACCCGACAAAACTTTTGTATACTAAAGAAATCTCTTACAGATTGTTGAACCCGCAAACAAATAGCTCCGGATCTCTTTATTCTGGCACTTTTATCGTACAGCTTATTGAAAAGTTTTCTTTGCGTATGGCTCCCCACCTCAGAGATCTCGTGACGGCATTAGTGGTACGTTTGGAAAGTGTGGCACTCAAAGGCTCCCTGATCTTTGTATTCGCCAAGCTGGTACGTTCTTGGTCAAGGTTATGTAGCAGCCTTTATATTCCCAAACAGGTACACATGAGCGCACCTAACTATGGGCAATTTATCGAGCTGTTGAGGAGTATTCCTTCGAAAGGTTATGGAGATTCTCTCACATGTGTAATGGCGGAATGGACCAAATGCCACGGTAAAGATTGTTCTGTTGTATCTGCATGCTAAAGTGAACTTTTAGACGAAGTTCAAGGTTCGTACCAGATCAAAGTGAGTACAACAGCTCTGGCAAGTCTTTTAGCCACTGGACACCCTCTACTTTCACAAGTTCAAGTCGAAGGACGCTTGCTGGAGGTATGTCACAGCATAAAATACTGCTTTTCTTATTATTGTGTTTACAGGCTACTGGTGGAATCAAGACAAGGTCGAAATCCAAATTGCAACCTGACCAGTTTACGAGAGTTTCCGCACTTCAAAAGGTTTGATCGGTTATGAATGGCTTTAACGGTGACAAACCTGACTTCAGATTTTCTCCCTCCTGGCTCGTGGTCTAGTCGAAGGACAAGAGGCAGCCAGCAATTTCGTGGATGAGGTAAATCTAAATGTTCGAATTCCAAAGTATTCAGCTTCTCTCAGGATGATGAGTGGGAAGAGCTTAGCAACCCGGACGGGAATGATGTGGAAGATGTAGTGCCAGCCAATAAATCGCTACGGTCTGTTTTCGAGCCTGCTGATCTGTACGAAGACGTGTTGAATGGCGACGTGGTAAGAGCTAATCCCTGGAGAAAAAGCTGTGGCATTGATATTCGTTTCGTTTTACAGAGTGATGGGGACGAACCAAGCGATGAAGTTGATCCAATCAATCAGGTAAGCGTTACGATAATTACGTGATATGCAAAACGTGTTTCTGGCGACGCCGGTCGGCCACATTGCAGATCAATCTCCAAGCTTACTTGGTGGACTTCATGAAGAGATTCTCACAAGAAGCTCCGCTTGCATTCAGTGAATTCTTCAAGGTGAGACCTTTGTAAATCAACGTGTTGTTACAAATCTGCTTTTCTCCACAGGAGTTGTCTGATCGGGAAAAATGTGCGGTGCAAGATGCGGTGTCTAGCAAGTAAGAAGTGGCCGAGAGGGAGAAAAAAGTTTTGTAGGAAAGAGACAGAGACGACGATTATGTGTGATTCTTGAGTAAACCGCTTTTAAATCCGAAAGCTCGCAAGCTCAATACCAGTGTCTTGAACTAGATGTTTCGCGAAGGCTCTCATCGCACAGGAAACTCCCGGAGTAAGTTGCTGTGGAACACAATCTCGTGTCTATAGAAATCGATGATCAAACCTGCGTTGGGATCTTTTGTGTTGAGGGGATGTAGCTTAGACGGTAGAGCACTCGCTTCGGCATCTCCAAATCTTTAGTTGAGTGAGCATTCCACGCATTTTGACCGGTGTTGACTATTGTTGACCTCATGGAGCCTTTGATCAGATTCCGCAGAGGAACAATGTCTCTTCGTATCTCCTGATCACTGCATATGCCCAGAAAGGGCATGCGCCAAGCTGGAGAGCTTGCATGCAATCGATTCCAGCAACGTCTTGGTGGGCACAGCGATTCTTGACATGTGCGAGAGTCCGAGCCGAGATCGGGAGAGCGAGAATGGAGCTCGAAGTCCAAAGGTTAACAAATATAAAGGCATAATTGAAGGATGGAGAGTTTGGTGCCCTAAGGCTGTTGACATGGTGCGCTGGACAAGAGCTACGATGGAGGCTCGGAGTCGGGCGGAGCGGGATGTAGAGTGGGTAGGCATATTTGTGAGAAACGCTTGGATCTAAAATCTTTTGAACAGGTGCGCTTCACTATGTCCGCTGCCACCCTTCCGCTCGAGAGTGCCTTTGACGAAGAGTATCGGGATTTGTATCGTGAGTGGAAGCAGGAGTGGGCCGCGTGGGGGAAATATCCCTCCATGTCAGTTCCCAAGGGCGCCACAGACGAGTTGATCATGGAGTACAGCGAAACACTCATTGGCGCCTTGATGGTGCACAAGTTGTACGAGGACGAGAAGATAAGTGAGATCAATTGATATGTTTTGAGCTTTTCTTAGTTTGCTGCTGCATGTAGAGCGGGTGGAAGAGGAGGATGCCAAGATAGAAGCTCTGCAGGAGGCCAAGGCAGCAGTTAAGGCAGCAGCTCTAAGGCGGCAAATCAAGGCAGCAGCTCTAAAAGCGAAGAGAGGTAAGATTAATTGATATGTCTTGAGCTTTCCTTAGTTTTGCTGCTGCATGTAGAGCGGGAGGAACAGGAGGAGGCTAGCGGAGCAGAGGCGGCAAATCCTTCTTCAAGCTCCACGCCTCAGCAAATCTCCAAAGAACGCTCGTTCCTGCCAAAAGCTGCCAGACCGGCCAACAAACCAAAACGACGCAGAGATGGCACTGTAGCATGAAGCCCGGAGAAAGACTTTTTCTTCCTCTAAAATGGGTATGCAAGCGTGATGAGGAAATTACGCCGGGCTGGATCACAGCCAATCATTGGCTGTGGCGGCGGCAATCCATTCCTAGTAATGATCTTGTGTAAGACTGAAACAAGCTTGAAATAGACGCAGTTGCACTGGAAGAAGAAAAATCAATCTCTGCATGGAACACATAAGTTTTGTTCCACTCTCTTGCTCTTGAGGGGATAGAACAAGCGAGAAAAACGAACAAAGACGAGGCAGTTTTTGTTTACTATCCCGGGGTCACTCCACACAAGATGTTGCAGGCTTCACAGTTGGAGACTGGTGAAATTTCATCAACGTTCCAAATGGTTGCCACTTGGGATTTATTCGTTTTATCCGACTGAACCATTCGAGGATGTGGTTGCAGCTCCAAGTGAAACTGTTTGTGGATCCAAGTTGTTAGAGCTGCAGGATTTGCATCTTGATTGTGAAGGACTTCAATACGTACAACACATACAATCTAAAGAGGAGTCCATGCTTGATTCTAAAACATGGAGATGGCAGATATGGGCAAATGCCAATGAGTGGCATGTCAAGCTGCATCAAGTTGAATTCAAGGATGAAGAGCAAGTGATTGCAGATATTCACCATTCAGGTGGAATTCAATTCTACAACTTGAGCAATATTAGTAACGATGGCAAAGTGGTGGAGCTTAGTAGTGGATGTAGAGATCCCAATACATGTCAGCAAATACAGTAGTTGTGTAGTTTTCTACTACACCACAGTCATGGAAATGGCACACCCCTGCTTCAAAGTCGAATGCCAAACAGCTTCTTGATGAGCGTCATTGGGATCAACTTTGCCCATTTGTCCCCAATTGAGATTCCAATCCAGATCCTTCACAAAGGAATTTACAAGTATGAAAAGAATTAGACATAATCTCCTTCGGCCAAGCGTTTTTCTTGCTCAAATACTTCTTGAGTTCTACTTATTCGTAAATTTTATAACGCAGAAAAATTGACTTATTTCCAGAATCCTTACAGTATATCATCTACCAGGTAATGTTTTTTTGCTTGGGGAGAGGGGACTTCTTCAAAAGAAGGCATGCTCTCATGTCGCTTTGAAGTTTAGAAAACGCTGCATTAGGGCGGTGATGAGATGAGTCAGAATGGAGGAGGCAAGGTATGGAGCGAGCAGGCGGTGTGGACGCTCCTCAGCATCTACGAGGACAAATGGAGGCAAGTAGAGTGGGGCAACCTCAAAGCCAGGCACTGGGAGGAGGTAGCCACCACTTTTGCGGCGGCCGGGGGCTTGCGCTGCCTGCCAAAATCTCCGCTCCAGTGCAAGAACAAGGTGGAGGACCTCAAGAAGAAGTTCAAGGAGAAGATGCACAAGGGCTCCTCCTCCTCCTCCTCAAAGTGGCCTTACTTTGCTCGAATGGACGCCATGTTTGCGAGCGCTGCCAGGGGATTGATAGCCCAGGAAGGAGCTGCCGCCGCCGCCACTGCCACTGCCACCGCTGCTGCGTATAACGGCGACTTTGGATCCGCCAGGCACCACCATTTCTCCTCCTTGGACGATACAAACACCGAGGTGAATGGCGACGAGTTTGACGAAGATGGTGGAAACGAGAGCCATCGGGGTGGTGGTGGTGATGGGAATCACAACGAGTTTGAAGAGGAGGACGAAGACGCAGAAGGAGAAGAGGAGGACGAAGAGGAAGAGGTGGAGGAAGAGCTCTCCAACTTCGATGCTGGTTTGAAGAGGAAGCCACGGGCGCTGGCGAACAGGAGGAAGAAGACGAGGTGTGGCGGCGGCTCGATGAGGCGATGTGGAAGCTCTTGGCTGGCCAAGGACGCTCTCGTAGCTCTGGTTGCTTCGCTTGGGGAGTCAGTGGTGAGGATCGAGAGGTCCAAGCTGGAGTCGCAGAGGCAGCTGCTGTTGATGCGAGCCCAGGCGGAGAACAGGCGGATCGAGATGGAAGCCAAGAGTCACGATATGTTTATCACCTTGCAGCTCCAGCTTGCGCAGCTCATAGCACAGAGAGACCATATCTAGGCCAATTCCCTGGACGCAAAAATCAGTGTTTTTTTAAAAGAGAGAGCTTTTGGCGAGTGTACGAACCTCAGTAGAAAGCTCGGCCACCTTCACTCGTGATCGCGCTCTCTCTCGCAAGCGCCTCCGTGATGCTCTGTGGCTGCAGGCGAGGCTTCGACGGGAACACAAACAGCTGCGTGTTGCTTGCCGGTGGCTGGTAACTGGCGCTGAAGTTCACGAGAGTGAGCATCACCTGCGGGAGCTGCTGCATCCCACACGCAATCGGCACCAGCTTGAGCGGCAGTGATTCCGTCGACGAAGGCAGCAGTGAAATGGAGCCTCGGGATGCGCCTGACACCAGAAAGCTCTGGGCGTCCACCACCGAGAACTTCACCTCCTGAACAGTGTTCGTCCGGTTCTGGATGCGAAACGACAGCGTGAAAGGAGTGCCGAGGAGGCCATACGGTGGATACTGCAGCGACACTACTACGGGAGCCTTCTCGACGGCGATGACCGGCAGTGCTAACCGTGTGGTCACAGAGCTCTGGAGAATGCCCGTAGCATCTGTGCTCGAAGGTGAAGCCATAATCTCGTCTATGCCGGAAACCTCCACCACCTCGGGTTCCTGTCGCTGCTGTTCTCTTTCCCACCTCAGAGCCACGGTGCCAATGTCGAGAGATGATGATACAGCCAGAGGTCGTATAGATAAAATCTGATTGAAGACCTCGCCGGGTAAGAGCTTGGTAGCCTCGCTTGACTGACTGATAGCGCTGTTCCTGAGACGGCTCCCTTCCATTCGTCTTACTTGACACGTTCTGGCATTCTTCTCCTCGACCTGGACTGGAGAGATGAGAAGTGGCACGGAGCAGATGTTTCT